TAGAAACATTCCCTCCACCCTCAAGCAATAGAGAGAACGCGCTTGGTTTGGGGGCGAGAGTGTGGGGCGGCCGCCACTGTGATCCAGAGCTCCTTCCCCAGCTCCTCGGAGCCTCAGTGTCTCCACCCGCAGACTGGAAAGAGGAACCCTCACCTCGCGGTTGTGCGAGTCTTCTAAAGCACACACTGCGCGCAAAGCTCCCCGCCCCGGCCTTCGCAGCTGCGGAAGGGGGCATTCCCACCGGCCGGCTAGCGGTGATCCCGGTTCTCAGCGCTTTTTCTCGAGAGCTCTGCTGGGGCCGGTCTCGTGCCTCAGTCCCTGGTTTCACCCACCGCGGAGCCTCCCAGGGTGAACTGAGGGCAGCCTAACCACTAGTTCCGCCTGGCAGCCGGTTCCCTGTTCTACTTGGGCCTGTCCGCCTGCCAGGGGCACGGCCGCAAATCCAGAGCGCAGAGGTGACCCGACGATAGACCTGTTTGCTCCGGCTGCGAAGCCACTTGTCAGTCCCCTCCCCTGCATCTGTATAATGGACCAGCTCTGAAGTCGCTGGAACGGAGCTTAGGGACGCGAGGTCTCCGGCCTTACTCAGAGGCCTGCTGCTTCTGGTCCTTCATTCTCTCGCGCCCGGGCTGGGCTTCCACACTCGGCCACCGCCTTTGAAGCCTTGGTTGCTTTGGGCGGGCAGAACTAGGCCGGACGCTGGGAGGTGGTCGCGAAGAGACGCCCACGCGGGCCCTTGCACTTTCTGCAGAGACATTTTCCCTGAAGCTCAGCCTCAGGGGAGCCTGCGAGAACCGAATATTACCGCGCCTGGTCTCTGCGCCCAAACCCTGCTGGTAGGGGACGGAGAACAGGGCGTCCTCGGACTGGACTGTAGTCCGGCGCAGGCACAGCGGAAACGGCAACCCAGCAGCTTTGCACGTCAGAGGGAGGGAGTTAGGTGCTAAACCCCCTTGCACTGCGTGGCAATTTCACTCCGCTCTGGGCGGGCGTTGGCGAGTAGGGTCGCAACTCGGCCCCACACCAGAGGGTTCAGCCCCTTTACTCCAAGGGATCCCCAGGCCAGCTCTGAATCGGCAATTGGTTGGGGCAAAGCACCCGACGAGGGAAGCTGTGTGCCTCCGAGGGCCCAGGGCCACAGGGAGTCCAGCTCCACGGATCTCAGGGCTGCGCGTGAGAAAGGACAAAGTGTGTATCCTCCAAATTGGCCCCAAAGTTGAAAGTCACCCTGGCGAAACAACAAAAGTAATTTAGAAAAACAAAAACACTAGGCCTTACTATGGAGCAATGGAGTAAGAGGGGAATTAGAAAGCGACACCAGTCTGGCGAGGAAGGGGCGCCCGATAGCAAAGGCAAAGATCCCTCTCCGCCTTAACTCAAGGGTCCCCAACCTCTCTCATCCCGATGACGGCGCTCATCGGGCTTTGTAGAGGAGAAAACGAAAGCATGCAGCACAATTTTCATGAAGACCCAAAGCTCAGAGTCACGCTAGGCCTTCCCGGGCTGTCTAATGTTCCGTTCCGGAGCCAGATTCCAGATCTGTATGGCTTGTAGGTGCCCAAAAGGACGCAAGCGCTGGGAGGGGCTGGGATGTGCTTCTTAGACGCCTGCCCTTCCTCAAGTCCCCGCAAGCGCAGATGCTGCTGCAGCCCGCGTCCCGCGAAGGCTCCAGAGCTGTGGAGCCAGCGGGTGCAGCAAGGCGGGAGAGAGGCGAGGAGGAGGGTGCGGCTGGCAGGGCCTGTGGGGCTGCCTGTGGCCTCTGGGCACTGCCTGGGAAGTGTTTAGTTAGCCTGGGGGAGCTACGGGGAGCAGGGCCTGAAGGAACCAGGAAGAAAGGGAAGGCAAAAGAGACAAAGACCCACAGAGAGGGAAAGAGAGACTCCGGGATGAGAAAGGGAAGACAAAAAGGACAAAAAGAGAGGGTGGGGCAAGGGAATGAGCCAGAAATCTAGACGAGAGGACGAGGACAGCAGTCGCTAATGGGGAAAGGGAGGACAGGAATATGACCCCAAACAGCTTCAAAGAAATTAGAAACAACAAAACCAACTGTATGGAGAAAAATAAAGCAACAAAGAAAAGGAAAAAAGGTACAGTAACAGAGAGCATAAGAAACAGACACAGAGAAAAACAGGGAACATGGCGAAGAAAGCTAGAGAGCCAGAGAACCAGGAAAGCTTTTCCTAAGACCGACAGGGAGAACGAAATACAGGAAAACAAGGAGCAAGAGGGAAATTTCAGGGACGCTTTGAATGCATGTTCGTCGCTGTTGGAAGGGGCCATGCATCCCCTATCCGCAATCCGAAAACTTCCCACTGCAGCCACTGTGAAGCTGGGCTGACCGTCTGGCCGCGCCACTACCACACCCGAATTCAGGAGTCAGGCGTTCGGCGCCCCGCCCCTCGCGTTCAGTGACGCCCAGGAGGCTGTGGTGACGTCACAGGACGTCACGCTCCACCTGGGGTACAAGGCGAACCCGGAAGGAGTAGGGGTCCCGGCTTGTGCACGCGTTTGCTCCCCAGGCATTTTGGGGACCCAAGGAAGTGCCCGGGCTGTGTGGGCGCAGGCCGCTCAGGGCCGTAGGAGCCAGGCCTGTGAGCCCAGCAGCCTGTGGCCTCTCAGGCCCGGCTGGAAAAACAACTGGGAGGGGGTTTGTGGGGCGTGGGTTGGGGGTGCTCCACGTTCCGGCAAGAAGTTCGAGGCCACCCCACCTCCCACAGCCCAGGTGGACTTGACCTACTAACGGCCTCAGTACCGGCCCAGGCCCAGCCTTCACTCCCCAGCGCCGGTCTACAGCCTCTGAGCCTCGCGCGCCTTTCCACGCCCGCTCCCCATCCCGCGGTCACCCAGGCTGCGGGCGGCCGGCACCAACTGACCTGCACCGCGCATCCTCCGCGGACCCCGGGCCGGGGTTCGAACTGAGACGAATACTGACGAACCTTGGAGAAGCAGACGCTCCCCATACACCGCCGCTCGGCTCCTGCCGCCATGCGGGTGGGGCGCAGGGCTGGGGGTCGCCGAGCATTATTGGAACGAAAACGAAATAAAAGCGGCGTTAAGTGAAATAGCTAACTTTTTTTATTATTAAATAAAACGACTTAAATAAAACAAACGGAAAAGGAGAGGAGTGAACCCCGTCTGTGCGCAGGGTGTCCCCGGCCCCTGGCGCTTCCCCCAACCGCCAGGTCGGCTGCCCCTCCTCCAGAGGCCCCTGCGGGGCAAGCAGGTGGCCGGTTTCTAAATAAAAAGCCAAAACTTTTATTATTTACAGTTTGGGCAAAAGTACAAAGTATAATACAGGCGCCCGGCCCGTGGGGTGCGGGCGGGGGGCGGAGAAACGTAAGGCGCTTTATTGTCAGGCCCGGCCCGGGGGGGGGCGGGGGGGGGGGG